CGTGCGTGCGTGCGTGCGTGCATCATTGTGCATGAATGTAATGAGTACATTTCTGTATTTATTCTGAATCATTGTAAGTTGTTTTGGTATATCCACCCAAAACTTACCAGTGGATCAATGAAGCTTGCCTTGTCATCTCATGTCATCTCATCTCATCTCAGTGTTTATGTGACGGTGAAAAGTAAACCTACAGAGGCCTAAAATCTAAGCCTGTCCTGTGGAGTTACAGAGAAACATCGAAGAGAGAAAGTATAAAGTGTAGCCTACTGATGAAAGAAGACTGCATCCAACTCCACAGGACAGGACAGTTACAGTTTTATGTCAAGATTGATATCAAGCTATAGTGAATGACATAAATTTTATGGTAGTCTAGGTCCATTAGGAGGTGGTCTGCTTTTGAACTTCAACACTTGGAAAAATAAAGTGTTTTCATAGTTCTTTTGCCAGTAGAATGGGAAAAATAAAATGCTTTCGTAATTCTTTTGCCAGTAGAATGGGAAAAATAAAATGCATTCATAATTCTTTCCTCGGTCAAATGTGTACCTTCTTCATTGGGAGAAATAAAGAGTTGTCATGATTCTCTCCCCCCTCCCCACCCATGTATAATGCTTTTAGTTTTAGTAAGAATTTTATAATATTTGTAACGCAATAAGATCATATAAGTGCTGGCCGTCGAATGTGATCTTATCATCATCATCATCCGGTGCCTTGCCGACTGGCATGGGCGATCATGGACCTCCACTGTACTCTGTCCTGCGCTGCAGCAATGGTGTCTGTTGTTCTTGCTGCTCCCAACCATGTTGTCATCTTGTCCAGTATCTTTTTCCTCTGTCTGCCTCTGCCTCTCTTTCCATCAAACTTTCCTGTTGTTACAATATTCTCTAATGCTTCTTTCTTCATTGTGTGTTCGAAGAAATTTGCCTGTCGTTTTCTTATTTTCGTGATAAGTTGTTTTCTATAATTTGCTTCAACCAGGACTTCTTCATTTGTTTTTCTAGCTGTCCATGGGATACATAGCATGTGTCTTATGAACCACAACTCTGTCGCTATAATTGTTCTTTCCAGCTGTTTATTGATTGTCCACGCTTCGCACCCGTATAATAGGATTGGCTCGATGTAACTTCTCAGTACTCTTTTCCTCGTTTCCAGTGACAGATTGATGTTTGTTAGTATCTATTTCATCTTGTGGAAGGTTGCTTTTACTTGGCAAATGCGGCTTTTAATTTCGGTGTGACATCTACCATCTGATGATATAATGGTCCCCAAATATTTAAAATGTTGTAGTTGCTTGAGAGTGGTATCATTGATTTTGATATTGCATGTTGGGATTGGGAGTTTTTCTGCTTATCACCATCGTTTCGGTTTTCTTGATGTTTAGGCTTAAGCCCATGTTGTCACTCTCTTGTACGATGACATTTAATAGATTCTGCAGGTGTTCTTCATCTCTGCTATTAGGACTGTCATCTGCATATTTTAGATTGTTTATATTATGTCCCCCTATCGAGATACCAGGCATTTCTTCTATGTGTCTCATGATATTTTCACTATACAGGGAGAACAAGTCTGGAGAAAGTACACATCCTTGTCTGACTCCTCTTTTTATCTGTATGTGTTCGCTGATGTCGTTTTCTATTCTCATTGCAGCAGTTTGATCCCAGTACATGTTTTTGGTAATCCTTAAGTCTTTCCCGTCGATATTAAGAACTTCCACCATGTCGATGATCTTGTCGTGCTGAACTTTGTCGAATGCCTTGGTGTAGTCTATAAAACATAAATGAAGATCTTTCTGAACTTCTAGGGCACGTTCTATTGTTGTTCTGATGACATATATGGCATTTACAGTGCCTTTGCCTTCAATAATCCACACTGTTCTTGGGCTATTTCTGGGAAAATTTTATACACTGGGAGAAATAAAGCGTTTTCGTAATTCTTTTTCCTGTGGAATGTGCACATGTACTTTTGACACTGGGAGAACTCTGAATATAATAGATGCGACTGTCGTAATTCTCTTCCCTGTAAAAGGTGTACTTCTACACTGAGAAAATTAAAGTTTCCTTGTAGAATGTTACAATTAAAGTGCTGTCATAATTTTTCTCCTTGTGGAATGGGAAAAATAAAGTGCTGTTGTAATTCTTTTCCTTGTAGAATGGGAAAAGTAAGTACTGTCGTAATTGGTTTCGGTGTTGAATATGGAAAATAAAGTGCTGTAATAATTCTTTTCCTTGTAGAATGGAAAAATTAAAGTGCTGTCATACTTCTTTTCCATGCAGATTGGGACAATTAAAGTGCTGTCATAATTCTTTTCCTTGTAGAATGGGAAAAATAAAGTGCTGTCGTAATTCTTTTCCTTGTAGAATGGGAAAATTAGAGTTCTGTTGTAATTCTTTCCCTTGTAGAATGGGACAATTAAAGCACAAGTCTTAATTTTTTTCTTTGTAGAATGTGTACTTCCACACGAGCATCCACAACAGCAACATCATCCTCGTGGTGGAAGTGACCGCGCACTCGGTGGCCCCCAATGGCCGACCGCAGCACGTGAGCTGTGGCTGGTGCTTCCTCCGACCCTTTGGCTCAGACAGTGGCATGCCAGACTCCTCACGCAACGTGCAGTCCCAGACACAGAAGTGAGTTGTCGTTTTCTTCTTGTTTCTGTTCTTTTGATTGTGGTGAGTTTTTTAGATTAAAAAAAATTGTTTAATCTCAGGTTTTGTTGTGATCTTGTCTTTTTTTGGTTTTTCTTTCGTTCTTTTAATTTTGTTCTTGTTGTTTTGTTTTTGTTCAATGGCTCTTGTTCTTATGATCCTGTTCTTTTTTTCTTTGATTTGGTCTTTGATCACCTTCTTTCGATCTTGTTCTTCGGTCATGTTCTTTCGATCTCATACTTTGATCTTGTTTTTTGATCATGTACTTTCGATCTTGTTCTTTTTATGCTGTTGTTTTGTTCTTGTTCCTGATCTGGTTCATGTGCCCCTCTTCTTTCATCTCTTTTTCTTTGTTGTCATCATGGTTATCGTTGTTGTCATTAAAGTTTTCCTTTTTATCCTTCTCCTTCTCTTTCTCTCTGTCATCCTTTTTTTTTTCACTCTCTTCATAAGATTACTGATAATGTTTGATAGCTGTATTGAAACACCTTAAACTCTAATTATATTTCCCTGAATAAAAAAGTAATATGTGACACGTCAAGGTTGAATCAGGCGCTCGTCCATTTTTGGGCATATGGAGTTATAGGAATCATCTTAAAGGCTGTCCATTTCCTTTGCTTTTGATTAAGAAAATATCCCTTCATCACGGATACAATTTGAGATATTAACGATTGAAGGAGGTAGGGGTCGTCTGGTTTCAGAGGTAAAATTAGTGAGAAAATGGCACCAAATTTTAGTTATTTCCTTAGCTTGAGAGTGCGAGGAAACTTTAAAATTACATCTTTCATGCTTTTAATCAACGTTTTTCAGTACAATCCACACAGAAATGTGTTCTGTAATGGGCATGAAAAGGGTAGAGCCAAAATACCAAAATTAGATAAAAATTCCCAAACTTGCGGAAAAATGCCAGTTTCTTCACTTTTATTATTTTGAAGAGCGCCTGATTTCACCACGCTGCCTCACATATGTTTGTTGTAGCATAGTTCAAGTTGTTTCTATACTTCAATTTTCATAAGCATTATGAACTTAACTGACTATCTTGAAACCAATCTGTGGTTTGAACGTTATTCTCTCGCCCCTCCTCAGAATTCAGTTGTATCATGGATCTCCCCGAGCATTGTACTTCATGGATGAGCCGCTTGAGGGTGAGATGATATGATTTCTTTACTTATTTTAGTTTTTTTTCTTTCATCCTCTGTTTCTGTTGGGTGTTGAGGGGAGATGCGTGCCAGATGTGCAACTCTGTCCTTTGAGATGTAGTTTATTTGTAGACACCCTGATTGAGATTGAACCAGTAGTACTAGTTGGTCGCTTTTAAGGACAAGCGGGCTAACCCAGATTTCGGGGTTTCCAGAAATCTTGACCTACACCAAAAGTGGGCATTGCTCTACCTATAGGAGAAGTTTTGTTTTATTGGTGTGTATATTTGCTTGGTTATAGAGAAAACTCTTCTTGTCTTTTAAAGAAACTAAACAAGGGTCCAAAAACTTTACCTTCGATTTTCTCAAAACAGCATTTTTTGGGATAGCCTCCTTGTGCTTAAAAGCGACCAATTCATTTATAGAGGCACCAGCTGTCACATAGGTACAGTTAGAACCAAGTAATAATGCAAAACACAGTTTTTTTTTCTTAGGAAATTAATTCTCGTCATCTCTTGTCTTCTATCTCATTCTTTGTGTGACAACAGGAAACCAGCTGCTGCGTGCTGTGGAGGGGTGTGAGCTCAACTGCAGCCTAGCCTCCCACAAGGCACTGCTGCAGATCGTCAGTCTGTTGCCAGAGAACACGCTGGTGGACGCCAATGACACCGTCCCTGGCATGGTGGACACGACAGGTCAGTACTGTGGTTCTCAGCCTGCTGTCATAAATAAGAATAATATATATATATATATATACGACTGCTCAGTGTACGACTCAGGTATACGTATTTTTAAAAAATGGAGTGTGACGAAGTCATACACTAAGCCGCCCGTCTGAAATGCATGAGTTGTTAACTGTTATTGTTGATGAGTGTTTGAGATCTGGTACTCTCAATCTTAGAAGATAAAACTATACTCTTTGTGAGCTCATGATTCAAGGATTCTTTCTGTGGTGACTGTTAACTTAATTAGATGTACGTGTATTTATTAATCTTCTGATTTTGTCTCAGAGCCTATTGTTTGGGTAGCTGTTTGGATAGTGCTGCTGATTAGTCCTTATTTTTGTTCATCTATGTTTCTTTCTGTCTGTCTCGCTTGTTTTCTTCATGGGCTAGATTACTGTTCTTCGGCCAATGTGCTTCCCTTCACTCAAAACAAAACTAGCACTTGTTGCTTTGTTTAGGATTTGGCGAAGGTGTTTTAATTAAGAAAAATTAGTGGGAACATTGATAGGCAGAGAGGATGCCTTTTTGATGACTAGTTGGTATCTTTGGAAAAGCCTTCCTGATTCATGATATGTGAGTTAGTTTCTGAACAAATTAAAAATTTATTATGCAGAGGAAAAATGATGATTGCAGTATTTTGCATTTGTGGTAGAAATTAATCTTAAGTAAAAGTCATGATAAGCGTGTGGTAGGGCAGAAATTGTGGAAAAGTGTCTGTGGTTTAGTAGTTAGGTGCTTTTCTGTTGCACGCAGGAGACCCCAGTTTGATTCCTGAGTGGGGAGAATTTTTATTGAGTGTCTTGGTCTTTCTGCTGGAATGTTGTATCCCTCTCAGCTATGGTTGGACTTGACAGGCGGAGCCGGAAGCTTGCCTCCTAAATAATCTAAATAGTGTTCATGCAGGTGTAAAAACACCTACATTAAAACAATAACAACAGCATCAACAACAAGACATTGAGTTTTGTACTTTGATTTATCAGAGTATCGTAATGTAGTGCAATGAAAGGCAGTTATATATTTGTGCATGCTTAGGAAGAGTTAACACTGCACAGTTTGAAGGAAGATCTTAAATAAGTGAACATTGCATTATTTTTGGTTTATTTACTTAATTAGTGTCAGAAAATGGGGGGGGGGGGGGGGGGGGGGTGGAGTGGCTCAACAGATATGATGTTTGCCTGTCAACCCAGCAGTCTGAGGTTTGATCCCTGCTAGAGTTGGGTTTTCTTTCTTGTTTTATACTCCCCCTAATCAAAATCAATTTCTACCCAAACGTTATGTCACTGTAGTTGTTTTTATTACAAAGAGTACCTTCAAACAATGACCTATGGGTACCTGTCAGGCAAGGGATGATTCTACATTCTATGTAGATGAAACGGCCATGTATTTAGATACCAACTGCACTGTGACATGAAGATCTTTCAATCAGTTACCTTCTGATCTTTAGCAGAGGTATGCAGAAGAAGACAGAAGAAACAGAGTTGCTGTGTCGATGTCAATAAATAGCAATTGTGCGGTGTGCAGGTTTTTTGTCTTTTATTGTTAATAATACTTGGACAAAAAAAAATACTTTATGTTATTTTTATAAGAATAGACAAGCCATTGTTTGTAGACACCCTGATATGTAGAGATTGAACCTTATGTCATACTTCCAGGTGGGGATCGATTCAAGAAGCCACGTCTACAACGTCATGTCCCCATTGAGATAGACGGCTTGGTCCTTCACCTACAGCCCAATGTGGACAAGTTTGAAGAGGAGTTGTGTAACTTGATGCGCGAGGATCGGTCTCTCCGAGAGAACAGACCGAAAGACTCACTGGATGTCTGCATAACGGAGCGAAGACTACAGGTGAAAGAGAAAAGTTGATGCATTTTTGTAAATTGTTTTGCCTCAGGACTTGCCTTGATGAGGCATGGTTTTGACATGATCACAGTTCTTTGCTGACATGCCACTGTATTAATATGCTCTTCGTTTTTGTACACATTTCGTCCCGGAAGTGAGATATCTTGGCTTATTTGACGACTTTAAATATTTTGTCACCTCTCTTGTAGGGGATCCTAAGGTGGTTCTAGAGCATCATGGGGCTGTGGATACTCTGCCTTCTAACTTGTGGTCCCAAATTGTTAACTTATAAGGGGATAGATGTGGCATTTTTGGGAGAGGGGGGGGGTTTGGAGGGGAAGGGGGTGGAAGAGGGGGAATGTTGTTATCCATCAAGGCTGTCTATTTATGACTCATAGAGAAGAAAAAGGGTGGGGAGGGGTAAGGGGCTTTATAGCGTCCCATCTAGACGTCATATATGTTTCTACATCATGATGACTCGCACGTATATATTTCCATGCTAGGTGGGTGTGCACAACGGCTGGTGTTATGTGGAGAAGCCTAGTGTGTTCCACCTGGAGAAGCTGTCCGGTACTCCCAGCCGCAAGCCCACGGCCAGCCCATCCATGAGACGCAGCAGTCGCTTCCACATCCGCAGGAACAGCACGGGCTCTTCTAGGTATGACGGAACAACAGCTTGTTTTTTGTCTCATCGTCTGGTTTGTTGTTGATATTTTTATCTTTGTTTTTTTTCTTCTTCATCGTCATCTTTATTGTTGGAAACTAGAGTGAAAACAGGGAGTGTTAGAAAACCCAAACCATTCCAGTATGATTACACAAATAAAAATATTTTGTTGTAAATTTGGTTGCCGTTTTGCAGTCATGGTTTGTCAGGACTGTCATCATCATTACTGTTACCATAAGCGTCATGGCTTGTATAATTTTTAATAATATTTTTTATTGTATTATATTTGTGATTGTCTTTACCATTTTTTCTCTGTTTTGCTCAGGTGGCAAAACCAGTCTTCAAGAGCAAAAGCAATGGGTTTTGCATTTTATGTCTTTTGAGAAAAACTGTCTTTGTAGAAAATGAATATGCGGTTACGGAAAAATTGCATAAATGTCTTTTAAGCAAAAACTTTTAACAGCATATCATATTCAACACAGATGCGATATTATTTTTTTACAATTTGATATTTCTATGAGCCTTTGTGTGAAGTCTTGAAATTTTTCGTAAGTTTGCTTGCTCCACCCCCTCACTCCCCACCACCTCTACTCTTTTTAAAAACCTCTTTTTTTTACCTTTCATGCTGACTGACTTTGATGATCCAGTGGAGGGAGTGCAGGGCATACGTTTTTAGTTCTGAAGAACAAGATCCAGATCAACGAACTGTTGGAAGACCCAATGTGTGCGGTGGTGTTCACTCTAGAGTACATTATAGGGGAGCCCCTAACTGCCCAGGATCGCAGGGTGAGTAGTCACAGACTGGCCGGTGGTCACTATGGTTATGGTTTCTTCTTCTTCTCGAATATCTTTAAATGGACATCTCAGTCTCTAGTGCAAAGGCTGCTGTTTGCCGCAGGTCCTCCAGGCTTCAATAGACTTTGGGTTTCTTTGCCAAGGGTTGGGCCAATATTACTTTTTAAGCGCTGTTAAGGTTTGATAGTTACTTTTTTTGTAGCTCAGCGAATATGTTGTGAATACTATTTTCAGCTCAATTCCTTGTTATTTATTCTTTTTCTGTATTAGTATCTGTGTTTTGGTATAGGTTTTAGGAATGTCTATGGTGTTGTCAAATATTTTACTTAGAATGTGAAAAGTATATAAAAGTATATATTGTAACTATTGAAACTTTGGGGGGAGGTGAGGGGTCCTTAGTTTATTAGTTGAAATGAGGGAAAAAATCCGCTCTTTTGTTCATAGATATATATGCTTGGCTTTTCTGCTGAAGATTTATAATTAATATGAGCCATTCCTTTTTTTCTATGAAGTTAGTTTCAAACAAAATTTCTGTAGTATTTCCTACTGCATTGACCGATTTTTAAACTCAAAATTTGCATTTTTTTTTTTTATAGCAAAGTCACAGTCTGGCACGGGCTCACTCTCGCACAGTGAGCGTTCGCTGGGCTTCATGGACTCCGTTGCTGCACCCCAACACCATGGATGTGAAGATGGCGCTGGTGGGCGGGCCGCTGCGCTCCCCGGACGACGCCCTCGTGTACAAAGTACCGGCCACAAGCATGCAGGACCAGGCTGTGGCGGTCACCGCGGGAGGTCTTCTGGAGTTCCGCTGGGCTAAGGATGGGGTGAGATTTGATAAATTTTATTGATCCACTAGGGAAATTTTGGCTGGGTACACAGGAACATCATTGTACAAAGATTCAGCATCAATACAGAAATGCTGTCGTTACATGTACGCACAAATGATGCACATACATATTACAAGAATTCGCAACTCACTGGCACAAGTGTATAGGCCTACAATGTGTCAATGGGCATGAGCTCTGTTTTCCTTGGGCATGCTCTCTCTGTCTCTCTGTCTGTGTCTCTGCCTCTCTCTCTCCTTTACTCACACTCACTCACGCACGCACACGCACACACGCACACACACACACACACACACACACACATACACACACACACACACACACACACACACACACACACACACACACACACACACACACAGTCACACAATCACACATAACACACATACAAACAGTCTCTCACACAAAAAATCACTCTCCTCTCTTCCATGCACATCAAGTGTAAAAGTGCTAATAATATATTATGGAGCTGGGGTATGAAGAATTGTCATACTAGATCAGAATATTCTTTTCAATGGGATATGAGGAAAGAAATAAACATTTTAAAAGTTCTCTATTGGGATATATGGAATAGTACAAAAAGTACAAAAATTATCACCTTGATCGGGTTTGTGAAATTGACATGCTGAGTCAAAAGGATCTGATGGTTGGGGTGAGAGAAATGGGGTTTGAGGTATATCTGATTATCTATACAGAGAGGTAAAAGGATGCAATGAATGTGTGTCTGTGCATCTGTACCCAGGAAGCGGTAATGTATGTTGGTGCACCAGTGTGTGTTTGTGTGTCTATCCCCAGGAGACAGTCAGTTTAGATTGTAAAGCACATAGAACTTGCGTTTGAGCGGAAATTTACACTATACAAATGCTATATTATTATTATTATTATTATTATTATTATTATTATTATTATCGTTATTATTATGATTATGATTATCATTTTGATGATGATGATGATGATGATGATGATGTGTGTTTGTATATCAGTGTGTCTTTGTGTGTCTGTCCCCAGGAGGCGATGATGCCATCAAGCCACTCTCTGGCTGTGCCGGACTATCGTGGCATCGGCTCTGCGGGTTCTCTGCGGAGTGATGGCAGCGAGGCTCTCATGTTTGACATGAGCTCTGGGGCTGCTGGGGACTACATGGGGAGGAAACCTCCAATTGGGAAATTCAGGTTAGAGAAATTTATTTGGTCTTGGAAATTTGGTTCAAATTCTGTGCATCAGATTGTTTTGAGATTTATCCTGATGATGTATTTCGATTGATTGAAACTACAAGGCACTCTGATTTTCAAGCATGACGAGGATGTACCAATGTCCCTGTTCCCACTCTCTCTCTATATTTGTCTGAATAATATAATTTGATAGGTCGATGAGCTGCAAGTATGAAAGTTTCTGAAAACTGTTATGCACTCTTTTCAGTATTAGACACATTTCTTATAAAGGATATGTGTTGAATTTTTAAAACACTTCAAAAGTCAGTGCCTTGTGGTTCACAACATAATATGAAACATCTATCAAAACAATTTCTTTCTCAAAATTTTGATATGGGTTTTGTGTTCACTGCAAATCTTGTCTTCATGTAATAAAAATGCAAGAGAAATATGTTTGCTGAAGTGTGCTGCAGCTGAAGTTGTCTAGTAATTAAAAGAAAAGTGTAATTTTTAAGCCTTTTGCATGTTGTCTTGTTGAGAAAGGCACATTACCTGTTTACGTAAATTTTTGTTAAATGTTTATTCATCATCATTTCCCCTGTCGGAGCAATGTTGTGCTTGGCTGAAGTGGAAAGAGTTTTGTAATACCACTGTATTTTGATTTTTGCACGTAGATTGATAAAGTGCATGAGCTTTTAAACTAGTCAATATTTTCTTTTAGTTCAGAATTTGTTCTTTTTTGGCCATTAGTGGAAATGGAATAGCTTTTTGACAGGGAATCTAATGGCTGGAGATTATTGAGTGATGGAAAGAATACAATTTCCAGTGAGACCAATGAAATTTTAAAGCAGATTATTTATTTAAAAGCTTCCTTTTATGACTAAGTCAGATAGCTTAACTTTTTTTTCTTTAGGCTATTGTGACCAGCAGAAAGACCTTGTTGTTTCAGCTGATATTTTATTATTTGCAAAATGCTAAATGCATAAGTCTTAGAACTGCATATTTTCGCAGAAGAAAGACATTACAGTAGAAAGAAATGTGAAGAGACATGAAAGTTTTGCCCATATTTTTTTTTGTTCCGGCATATCATAGTGTTTGTTAATGCACACTGATAAACCTTGCTCAATTTGCTCTGGAACTTTCTTTTTGTTCTAGTGCATGTTATGATGTTTCTTCTAGCTATAATGTGTGGCCATTGTTGTGTCAGTTTCATGTGAGGACAGCCAGTGACTCAGAAACCTGGTGAAATGTGACTGATGTTGGGATGATTGTGTTTATGTTTATATATTATATGTGTGTGTAAGGGAGTTTGTATATATATATGTGTATGTGTGTGTTGTATAAATGTATGTGTGTGTGTTTGTGTGTGTGGGTATGTGTGTATGTGTGTTTTATGGGTGCGTATGTGTGTGCGCGTGTGTGTTTATGCTGTCATGTACAAAGAATTAGTAAGATTGTACTGAATACTGTGGTATGATGCTTACTTCGGAGAAATTCTAATGATGCAAGTGCTGTAGTTGTTGAAGTCACTCTGTGGATATTGTGATTATTGTGTAGTCATTGGTATGTGATGGTATCTCTAGTGAAGTTTGCATGACTAGTATGGGTTGTTGTATTGCCATAGATGCAAGGATGAATTATGAAATGAGAGGATTAGTGGGGACAGAATTGTTAAAGTATTATGGGTTACTCACAGTCTGTTTTGAGAAGCCTCTTAGTCTACTATATGTAGCAAGGAATATTTTTTGTTCTTCTTTCTTTCCATGTTAGAATTGATTTTCCTTGTATTGTAGTACACATGTTTAGGGGACACCACTGGTAGATCTACTTTTGTTTGAGAAATTAAATGAAGTGTGTTTACCAGTGTCAGTATTAATAAATATCAAAATCGATTTCTTAGGATGCTTTTTCAAGAGAGTGAATCATAATGTAGTGTACTATCTTTGCTTTGGGAAGAACATTTACTTATGGTGCTACAGGGTGTCGTGATTGGTTTTTTTTTTCGTGGTAGTAGTTTTGTTGTGTTGTTTTGTGACGGTGTTGGTTCCTCCTCCTGCCTGTTTCAGCCAACCCAGGCACAGCGTATTCTCCACCCGGAGTATGGGGGTCGTGGGTAGCTCCGATACCAGTCTGCCTCAAGATGGGTCAGCGTCACTTTGTGTGTTTCAGTGTTACCCCCTTTTTTTCTTTGTTGTTCCTCTCTTTCTTTCACTTGTTTTATATATATGCAGGATGGGGTGTTTTGTATAGCGAGCGCTTTATGCACAGCTGTTTGCCTACACTGCCAAGAACTCTTGATCCAGTATCTATCTCATTGTCAGTTAACTATGCTCAATGGTTGTGTGATTTTTCTTCTCATCACTACTTCGAGATGATGGTTTTTTAAAATATCATTATATATGTACTTCATTTTTACTCACAATGCACTTTTGTCTTTTCTTTGCTTTGCTGATTTCTGCCTTTAAAAATTATTTACTTTTTAATTAAGAAAAGGGAAAAAAGTTATCATGATTGGAGGCAGATGTGATCATGCCTGTACTGATTTGTACAACTCGGAATACCTGGCGCCATGCAATATATGGTGTGTGAAATCACATGGTTTTTGTAGAACTGGTGTCTTTCAATGGTCCTTTGGTGATAATGAAATTAATAGTTCATCCTGATTTTAGAGAGAAAAGCTCTGAAAAGATCTAATCCATTCACATGGTTGTATGAGAAAATGTCATGGATAGACTGTATCATGTTACTGAATTGGCAAGGAAGCTCAAATGTGAGGCTGTTGAGTGAATACTTTACTAGCTTTTATCTTTGAGCTTAATTCCATGGCAGATCAGTACTCTTACAGTTTTTTTCTCTTTTGTTCCCTGGTAGTTATTTCTTTTTGTCTTGTTTTTTAATGGATCAAACTGTACTGTAAAAGGGCAGAGTCCAATAGTTTTAGAAAGTGCAGAAGAAAATACAGTCGAACCTTGTGTCAAACGGCCACCCATTGTCATTAAGAAAAGTGGCTGTATAACACAGGTGACCGTCTTAGGCAGGACTGATCAAAATGAAGGAGGTAAACCATTCCCTTCTTAAGTCCAAACCAGGGCTGATTCAGGCTTAGGACTGCTGAAGGGGGAATTCAAAAGGGTTTTTTGTTGTCTTTTGAAAGGGGGGG